AAAAAAAAAAAAAAAACCTATGTATTAGTCAAATTTGACATTTTTTTTATATATAAAAAAAAAAAAACTAAAATACCCATTTTAGGTATTTCAATTTTCAATTTTTTTTATAAGAACCCCAAAATTACAAAAAATTGTACAAATCCTAAAATACTCCAAAACCCAAATTTTTTGTTTATAAAAATCCCAAAAATTTGAAATCAGTGCTTTTTATTTTTATTTTGTCTTAATGGTATTTTAGATATTTTAGTCTTTAAATTAAAGAATTGTCCTTATTTGTTCAATTTAAAAAAAATAAAGATTTTTTGAACACCAAAGATATATTTGCATATTGTGTATACAGTTGGGAATTTTTGGCATACTGAACTGGGTTTGTCACTAAAGCTTAACAATATGTGGACTTATTTAGTTGAGCTCTGGGCCTGAACTGTGTTTAGTCACTTACTCAAGATATTATTGGGCCTCGTTTATTCAAGAGTGATCCAGCTAAATATCTAAGCTGCAAATTTGAAACTCGAAATCACAGTCTTTTCGTTCAATATGATCGATTATCTTATGTTTAGTATGATAGTATCTCTCTTTAGTACCAAACTTTTTTAAAATAATGATAGGCCGATTCCAAACTGAGCCGAGCTCACAAATGAACGAGTCGAGCCTCAATAAACTCAAGCTTAGCTCAACTCGATTCATTTACGATCCTAATACAAGAAATGATTCCCAACATGTCCGTATTAATATTTTAAATGAGCTAGAGTTTACTGGCATGAGAAAGCTGGACTTGTGCGTGTGGTGAATAATGGAGTCCTAATTTCCTTCTCTAAAATAACTCCTGCAACCAACCACTAGTACATCTCACACACAGCGTATGATGGGGGACCACGGGGCTAAAGATTAGATCAAGTAATGCAAGAAGCTCATCTCAAGGCAATGATCCAAATATTCAACACAATAGTTTTTGACTTTTCAACAGTCACACACAAAAAGTGCTCATATGTATATGTATATATATTATGCACATGCACATACATGAATAAGAATATGAGAATAGAAACGAGTGATAAGTAATTAATACAAGTGGATGGTCTCAAGCTTCCAATGGGCCACTATTTCAAGTTGTCTGTTTTGGACTTTTGGTTCATCAAAGGAAACTAGTATACTTAGAGTTTTAATTGTATTTGACAAAAACTTACAAAGACGGGGAAGAAATTGTTGATGGAATCTTATATACAATACAAAAAACTCTCTCTCTCATGGGACCCACTTATTTTAAAGTTTTTCATTTCAGAGATATTTTAATGGAGCGTCAATTGCCCAATTATGGTTCTCCATGTTAGCATATGTATTACAGTGGATGGATGGTAACGTGAAAATGATTGCCCTCACTTGATTTGTCTAGGCAACATTGCCTTCTATTGGTTTCTCAATGATAATATCTTTTGTTCTTTTCTCAATAATAATATAGCCCTACATCGGTCATATCTGTAAATTATAATTTATTTGTGTAAATTATTCATCATAATTAAACATAAATTTCAAATCTTAGAACTTCAATATTCTTCCATATTTGTAATGTATAAATAATTATATTTAGATATAAATACCTTAATCGATCCTTTTTGCGAAAGATGATAAACTGCAATAGTCAAAGTGTAAAAATCGATTTATCTCTCTTGCCCTTTTGCACATATAAACATTATAGGAATATGCACTTTTATAAAGGCGCAGAGATGATTAGTTTTCTTTTTAGTAACCTTAATTTCACTTTCCATCAAAGTAAGGAACAAATAGGAAACACTTCCCCAATAATTAATTACCAAAAAGGTAATTTATAAGTTGACCAAATAATATAATATTAATTTGATATCTATTTTATTTAATCACCAAATAATAGAAATAAATCACGTGTCCAAATCATGTAAGCCACAAATATAAGAAAATATCTTACAATACCTAGCTATTCAACAATGGTATCATAATTAAGATATTTATGAAAATAGAAAAAATTATGTTTTTATGTATTTATTATTATTACAAAAAATTCTTTCTGACACTAATGTTACGTTTGATATGCAGGAATGAAATAGAATGTCCATTTCAACCATTCTTTCATTTGATATGCAATTTAAAGTAGGAATGACTATTTTATTGGAATAAAAATTCATTTCACAACTAAATCTATAAAATAGCTATTTTATTCTACCACCATTACCATCGCCTTCCACCACCACCATCGTCACCGACTTTCACCATCGCCCACCGCTTTCCACCGCTACTACCACCTCCTTTCACAACCGACATGCCCTTCCTTTGCTACAACCATCACCACTACCACCTTTCACCACAACCACCACCGCCACTGCCTTTTACTATCATCACTGCCTCACCATGACTTTCCACCACTGCCACCGCTTTCCACCACCACCATCACCATCACCTTCCCACCACCTTTAGCGCCACCGCCTTCCACCACTACAACCACTATTGTCTTCTACCACCTCCACTGCCTTCCACCACCACCACACTATTGCCACCGCCTTTCAGCCGCGCACCACTGCTGCTTTCCAACAATACCGCCGCTGTCTCCTTCTACCATCGCCAGTTCGCCATCACCGCTACCACCATTTACCACTGCCACTGTCACTATTTATTTTTAAAAAAATTATAAAAATATGTCATTTTATTAATTTAATTTATTTGTTACTAAAAAAGATATTTTAGATAACTCAATTTGTTTCTCTTATATTAATTTCGATGATCGACCTTGATATTTATGTGGAGCTCTGCACCATTCGAATATGGTGCAAGTCTTCAGATTCTTACACCTCACGTTATTCCATTTGCGCGCCATCATAAGGGAAATAGAATCTTCATCCGATTCTGTACAAAAATGTCCAAGTTTAGAAATATTGATTGATGATAAGAATTTATACGTTCTTTAAATTAACTTATATGAAAAAATACTAGAAAATTTAACATTCTTAGACCGTACTTGATGTAATTAATAAAGTATATGACGAAATTGTTATAAGAATGAAATTGTTTATAAGAATGAAATTGTAAATCTTACATACACAACTGTAAAACATGAGTATATTTAAATATTATCCTGTCATTTATATATATATATATATATATATATATATATATATAACAGACATCTGTTATAAGCTTCTCTCTCTATATATGATAGCAAATGACGCATATTTATTTTGTCAACCATGAATCTCCCTTCTCTGTGGGAGGTGGAGTTTAGCAAATTAACATAAAACATATCAAATACATACATCACTAAGAATTAGATAAATTTTACGTAATTCACTGGTTGTAAAATTGATCGACAGTCTTGAAAAATTATTGACTTAAGTCATAAAATTTAGGGACTCTTGGTACTGATAATATGATATCTCCGTTGGAAGTAAATATTAGGTGGACTAGCCAATCAATAGAAATATACCACTTAAATAAAAGTAGTCTCACCAATTAAAAAAAGATAAAACTATATATAGGTAGACTTAATAGCTTTAAATAACAAAGTAGTCTAATTTTAAAGTTGATTTTTCAATTTGATTGAATTAAACAAAATAATTACAAATACATCAACAATAATTATTAAACTCCAAAACACCCTCCAAACTATTATTCTAAAATATCAAAATATCCTTAGAGTTATATAATTTAAAAGTACCAAAAATCAATAAATAACTATGGAATCTTGACGTAGATCCTGTGTTTGGAAGGAGCGTGACTGAAGAAAATCAAATCCATTACAACAAGCATGACAAACTATTAAAGAGTATTTTATAAATCCAAAATTATTTTAATATTTTCTCCCTATGTATATGTACTATTTACATGTTTATACATATAATTTTTAATCTCCATTTATTGGTAGAATAATATTTTCTTGTTCTAAAGCAAGAAAGACGCTTTAACAACAATCAAGTAAAGAAAGAAACCTAGATCGAGAGGGGATAGAGAGAGATGATGAAGATAGAGAGGGACACAAGAAGAAGAATATAGAGGGAATGGAATGCAATTTAATTGAACAGCGAGAAAAACGTCATTTTGGAAAGAAAAAAAAAATGGTAAGAGCGATGATGTGTCCATGCCAAGTAAGAATCGGACCAAAACCGGCTCCAAAATATTAGACCAAGTATCATTATTATTATATAATTAGAAGGATATTTTAGTATTTTTGAATAAGAGTTTGAAGGGTATTTTGAACCTTAACAATAATTGTTAATGTATTTGTAATTATTTTGTTTAATTTAATCAAATTGAAAAGTGAAGTTTAAAATTAGACTATTTTGTTATTTAAGGCCACTAAATTTACCGATATGTAGTTTTCTTAAAAAAAAATGTTAAGAACAAAATATACTGTATATTTTCATTAGGTCGCATATTCAATTACGTATGTGTATGTCTAGAATGTCCAAAATAGGGAAAAAAACTAAAAAAAAAAAAAAAAAAAACCTCGGTCAGATAGTATTTATCTAAATATTAGAAAATGTCAAAACTCCAATATTGGATATTATCTAAATATATTATCTATATTATCCAATAAATGCTTATCATTTTTGTTAGTTATAGGGATCATCCTATCGTTTACCCAATAAATTTGTGGTTAGTATTTGAAACTCACAAGCAAGTAAAATCCTACGTCATCCTATGCGTCATTCATGCAATTATTTACTTTGCGTACGTCAAACTAACCAAACACAAATTGTCTCATATTGGCTTAGCCCATCTCCAAATGAATCATGTCCACTGGTTTACCAATCCGGGTAGGACCCACCGTGGTATGTACAGACGGTCCAGATTCAACCACACCATTAGGTTGATTGGGGACACAAATTGAAAAGTCCCCAAATAACTAAAAATCAAAAATCAAAAATCAAAAATCAAAAGAATCTTTGCGACAGCTTGAATAACGCTTAAATAGCATCCACTATTATCCAATAAAAACCCGATACGAGCACTCCATCTTCTTTTATTAGTTATCATCAGTCCAAAAATTTTGGAGAGAGAGAGAGAGAGAGAGAGAGAGAGAGAGAATCAGAGATGGGTCGCTTCTCCGTGGTTTCGCTGCTCCTAGTCCTTGTGATCGGCTGTGCACATGCAACCTTCGATGAGGAGAACCCCATCAAATTGGTTGTATCAGACGGTCTTGGTGAGTTGGAGACCTCCGTTCTCCAAATCGTCGGTCAAACCCGCCACGCCCTCTCCTTTGCCCGCTTCGCTCACAGGTTTCATTTGCTTCCTCCCTCCCAAGCTCGTACAGATTCATATATGTATATACATTTATGTATTCATATATTCACTTATTTGTAATTGTTTTTCAGGTATGAGAAGAAGTATGAGACGGCGGAGGAGATCAAACTCCGATTCTCGATCTTCTCGGAAAACTTGAAAATGATTAGATCGCATAACAAGAAGGGCCTTTCTTACACTCTTGCTGTTAATAGTAAGCCTATTTCCATTTCCTTTTTTATTTCTATTGCTATATATACACAGACATATACATACAGTAGTACTGTGTAGTATATGATAGGAAAGCTGTTTTTAATCAATTTATGGTTTGCTTCAGCTTTTTTTTAGTTAAAGTTATGTGCTTTGACCTATTTCAGCTTCATACCTTGGCAGGGTAGGATATATATGGTACTATCTATCTGATGCTATAAAATTTTGAACAATTAACAATAATAGCTACCGAAATTGTGTCTTGACCTAGTGGTGATTTTGGAACAAAAAGATAAGATTTGGACATTGAAATCCTAATCAAGTACTTAATTGGGGGAGTGAAAGAATGAAATTGTGAAGGATTGGATTAATACACGATGGTGGTAAATCCTTTGACTCCACAATTCACATACATCGATAGTTCATTTTAATTGGTTTTTTTTTTTTTTCCAAAATAAGTGGTTCCATCAATTTGACTTTAGAACTTCTTTTTGAAGTTAAATTTTTTTTGACAACCATGAATGGACTGTTTAAACCAGAGTCGTTATGTGCATCAGCAAATTCAGATCATTCTTATTGAATTTAAACCCAACCACCAACTGCTATTGTTATTGTTGAGATGTTGTTGCGTTGCTATTGTGTTTATAGTATACTTTTTTCTCCACTTGATGGTTGAGTGAGCTCAATCCATAAAACTTCGTTGATAAATGCTATTAGCTCAGTGATAAAGTACACCTCCGATAATTGCGCTGTTGTGTTTGGGCTCTCAGGATTTCATTTTAATTTGTATTGAGGAATCATTTTCTGCTTTAGTAAGAATAAATATCATAAAAGGAAAAATAGGTCATTTGGTCTCCAAACTTCAGTTAACTTATTTGAGAATTATGTATACATAATATAGGACTTGTACAAATAGGTTTAACCCCACAATGAGATGAGATTAACACTATGTAACAAACCAATTATTATTTTAAGCTGTCTTCCACTGCTTCATTTGCTGATTAGTATTGTTATTATTATTATCTTTGCAGAATTTGCTGATTGGACATGGGAAGAGTTCAGTAAACACAGGTTGGGAGCTGCTCAAAACTGCTCTGCCACCTTGAAGGGCAACCACATGCTCACTGAATCTGTTCTTCCAGAAACGGTATGTTTCTAGTGACGAGTTCTTGAATTCTTAATTGCTGCGCTTGGTGTTTTCAATATGAACGTATCTTAAAATACATTGCATCTAATTTTACAACCAACACAATAATCCAGAAACAATTATCAGTTTTACACGCAAAACTTCTTGTTTGATTTGCAATCATTTCTAGTTCCCAAGTAAAAGTTTGTTTAAGTTCTTAGTAATAGTCTGCCGTAGTTTATGCAGGGCACACACATTATTTCACAGAGAGAATAACTTAGACTACTGAAATAACTTCACTTTCTCTGCGCAATGATGTGTGTACACCTTTGTCAATTGGAAACTCAGTCACCTTGACAAGGTACTTCTAATTATTTCTTCCACCATGTCCTCCATAGTGCTTTGAGAGGCCTGCTGTTAAAAGGATTAATGGATACAATATTAATAAGAAAATAAAAAAATTTAAAATTTGATATATCTATTGATGCAAATTAAATGAAGGGTCTTTTTACATGAACAATTTTGCAACAAGTATAATCTCATGTTTGTTTCTGTGCTCTATTATAGAAAGACTGGAGAGAAGTGGGCATTGTCAGCCCTGTCAAAGATCAAGGCCATTGCGGATCTTGCTGGACATTCAGGTTTGCTTGAGTTAAGATCAAAATATTCAATGTCTGGTGCATTGAAATCGCTCAATCATAACAGCTATCATGCTTCTAACCTAAATATTTCTGTTTTACAGCACCACTGGATCTCTGGAGGCAGCTTATGCACAGGCATTTGGGAAGGCAATCTCTCTATCCGAGCAGCAGCTTGTGGACTGTGCACAGCCTTTCAATAACTTTGGTTGCAATGGTGGATTGCCATCTCAAGCCTTTGAGTACATCAAATACAATGGCGGCCTTGACACCGAAGAAGCATATCCTTACACTGGAAAAGATGGAGTATGCAAATTCTCATCAGAAAATGTTGGTGTCCAGGTCTATGATTCTGTTAACATTACCCTGGTAAGATTTATGGACAAATCTTTTTTGACTTTACGAAATAATAAATTTATACGTTTACAGGTGTTTATATCAATTAATCGAACATTTCTGTTGAATTTGAGCTGGAAGACAGAGACTGAGAGGGATTAAGTTAGCTACCATAGGATAGCCTTGCTTTTTCTGAAATATTGTCATGGAACTAAATGGACCCAACTACAGACTAATGTGTGGTTGTGGTCTAATCCTTCTACACCTCCAGTATCCTGTGTGAGCCAGTATTTACTCATTCCCAAACTTATCTAATTTGATAACATTCACTATATCCGACTCGTTCTTAGGTTATCTTAATTTGCTACCTTGACCAAATGGTGGATGAGTGCAGGTTTAATTAGATTTAGATAATAGGAATCAATGGGATGCTATGCCTTCAAATTGTATGCACAAGGTGAGAGCTTCTTTGTGGTTTGCTAACTTTCAAACATCAATTGCAGGGTGCTGAAGCTGAACTAAAGCATGCAGTAGGAACTGTTCGGCCAGTGAGTGTGGCATTTCAGGTGGTGAAAAGTTTTCGATTTTACAAGGAAGGAGTTTTCACAAGTGACACATGTGGCAGCACTCCCATGGTGAGTTCTTACTCTCTCTCTCTTTTTATAACTTGAGGAAAGCAGGATTTTCTTTTTAAACTTTGTCAGATTACTATGTTTACCAAATCATAAATTTTAAGGGTCAAGAATTCAATACCAGAGTCATAAAATCTCACACCAAGGATGTGTGTATGAAATTAGGTTGAAGCCAAACCTCGTCATCTTCCAACTGTTTTTATTTCCTGTGTGATCTTATTTGTTTTATGTCAAAGTATGCATATTAAGCTTTGTTGATGTGCATGCATGTTGTTTGGGGATTTATGATGCCAAAGTTGTTCTAAAATTCACCAACTTTATTTGGCAGGATGTGAACCATGCTGTTGTTGCAGTTGGGTATGGAGTTGAAAATGGTGTCCCATATTGGCTCATTAAGAACTCATGGGGAGCAGAATGGGGTGAGAATGGCTACTTTAAAATGGAGATGTGGAAGAACATGTGCGGTAAGTTTCCTGCTTCCTGTTTAAACCAATTCTCATGCTTGGATGGTCCAAGCCTGTTTTTTTTAATCCCTTTTTTCCCCTGGTTTCTAGTAGTAGAATTTTTTTTTTTTTATAGGTTATGAATGCCACCGCCACGGTGACATTTGAATTTTTTATTTAATTGAAAGCATCCATTAAAAATTTTGAACTAATCTTAATACTTGGATGCAGGTATTGCAACTTGTGCATCGTACCCCATTGTGTATCAGCATAAATGTTTGTGAAGAATTGGTCGCCTTTTTCTCTGAAAGATTGAAGTTCCATCTTCTGCAGTATGGATGTCCTCTATAAGGAGTAGAATTATGTTGTACTGATAATACTTCAGGCCTTGTGTACAAAATAAGATCCAAAACAATTGTTGCTATTAATGCCTTAATGGCGTGAATGTGGTGCGATCCAAAATGACCTCATGTAAATTTCCTTTATAAATGGTCCGTCATAGCTTTTAATTAATGAATGCTCTCTGTGAAATATATTGCTATTAAATATGGTATTTGTCTAATATTTTGTTTATAGTTTTTGCTTCACTGCATTAAATTTACCTGCATGAAGAAGGATGGATGGACCTTGTAGGACGCCAAGACTAAAGTAAAATTGAGTTCGAACTTCGAACACGCGCACACAGTGACACACACGACACACACACACAAATTCTTGAGTCTGTCCTGACTACACCACAACTTTCTTTTCAAATTTTTAGCCTCCTCATCCACTTAGGGCAATTCTTTAACCACAAGCTTTACCCCAGTTAGATTGGTTCAAATAGCTTGGATTGGTCCATCTTCTTCGGAACACGGCAAACAGACCGAATTCGAGTTACAAAACTCAACAAACATATGTTAGGTGCAAGCTTGTTGATAATTTACACACCAACATATTGGCAAAGAAAATGTATATGAACAAATGCTACTAAAATTTAAAAATGTTATTTTCGAAAGTTTAATTGTTAGACTAACCAAACTTACTCATACCCTTTAGATTATATACAAAAGCAGTTCAAATTATAAAGAGCCTGAATAAAAAAGGGCATTATTGGAAGTCTAACTAATCACAACAATAGAATAGAAACAATTCGAGTTCATTATTATTATTATTAGCCAAAAAATAAAATAAAAATGCAGTTCAAATTGTAAAGAACTTGAATGAAAAGATGTCATAAACTAGATTTCTATTTGAAGTCTATTAATCTCTATTTTAGAGTTAAATTTCTCAAAAATAATTAAATTGAAGATTGGATTTAATTTAATAAGATGGGTTGTATAAGAAGATTTTATTAAATGCCATCATGCATTATAAATTTAGTGGGGATTCTTTTGGTCCGTTTTATTAAATGCCATCATGCATTATAAATTTAGTGGGGATTGTTTAGGTCCGTTTTATTAAATGCCATCATGCATTATAAATTTAGTAGGGATTCTTTAGGTCCATTTAGATGGAATGATCTGGAAAGAAAATATAATGGGAAGCCTGTTTGGATAATTTTTTTAGTGGAGAGGAAAAAAAATAAAATTTGGAGAGATAGCTATCTCTCCAAATCGCTTGTACAATTTGGAGAGAAATGATAATGGACTAAGTAATATTTTTATAATTCTAAAATCACCTTCAATAATTAAAACAATAAAATTATTATACCACCCATGTCCTATCTTAGTACTTATAACAATCCGTCTAGGGCTTCATGTTTCTATTAAGTTGTGATACAACAAACAGGTTTCCAGAGTGTGCCCTCTTCTCATATTCTTCAAAAATCTGGCAGTTGCTCCAACAAGGTATGATTGATCTCATACTTCTTTCTTCGTTTCATCTCCCTCTATAATAATAAAATAAAAATAAATAGAAGCAAATTATTCTTACTAATTAAGAATAAGAGGAGAACATAGAAAGAAGAAATTCCAAACCCTGAAGTGTTAAAAACATTAGAAATAAAAAGTTTTATCCATGTGTATATATGCATGATTTCAAAATAACACAAACTCTAAAATTGTCAGGATTTCTAATTTCCATTTTATTGTTATAGAGGGAGATGAAACGAAGAAAGAAGTATGATGAAAAGTTGAAAATAAATGAAGAACAAAGGTAGTAGTTATTTTGAATAAATATAAAAAGATACGATAGTAATTTAATTTTTATCATTTCTTTTCTTCTCTTCTTTATGTTATAATATTATTATTATTATTATTATTTTTTCTTTCATGATTTATCCAAACATAAATAGAGGTTCTTACAATTAATTTGTTATTTATTTATTATTATTATTATTATTTTAACTAATGTTATCATTTTTTTTTTCCTCTCATATTTATTCAAATGAAGCCTTAGTGAAATTTTAATTAAAGAAATTTGACTTGTAGTCCTACAGAATAAAACATAAAATTGAAATATTTTGGGCGCGAATGTTGCAATATATGTAAGATGTGATACTAAAAAAAATAAAATAAATAAAGATAGTAAAAAGGATAGAACAAAATAAGTATAATACCTACTGTTTACTATTCACTTTAAAAAACGAAAAACTAGCAACAAGTGAGACATTAAAAAGGGTATCAATCAATTTTTTGCTAGGAAAATCAACAAATTTAATTTGTCTTCTTTAAATGCCTAATACCTATGGAGTATACCCAAACTTATAGGTGTTTGTGTGCCTGTGTACCCAGGTGTACAATAGGAAGTCTTATTTCTCTCTATTGCAAAGGGATAGAGAAACCTATTATAAATATTTTAATAAAAATACAATTAAATCATATTAATGAAGATTTAATATAAATATTATTATAGTAATTAAATTATATTTATAACGAATATTATTTCAATAATAAATTCGATCATTATAACACGCGGATACATTTTTATTCTCTATTTACTATATATATATATATATATACAAAGCATCCACAATATCTCGAAAGTATTGTTATTTCTTTATTCATCAATGCATTGTTCATTATGTATAAATAAATTATTTTATTTTCCTTTGTAGTTTTATTTATTTATTTATAAATAAATACAATTTCCGCAGCAAAATTGAGAGCGTTGGTCAGAACAACATAGAGAAAGGAAAAAAAAAAAAAGATAAGAGATCGAAAGGAAGAAAGAAAGAGAGAGAAAGGGGATTTCGACTAGAGAGAGAAAGAAAGAGAGAGAAGAAGAAGAAATATGAGATATAGCCATGGTATAAAGAGAAGAAGAAGAAGAAAAGGGAGGAAAACCTGAGAAAAAAATCAAAGTATACACCAAAAAGGTAGGTTTCCCTCAACACAATCGGTTTTAATTTGAAAATTTTCTTAAATTGTTTTCTTACATGCGAACTATTTTTTGGAAGTGGTCAGTTTTTTTTCTTGTCAAATGTATACATGAGCTGCAAATTTGTTTCTTTTTAAAGATAGATTTTGAGAATCTCAGAACACATGTCTTTTGGAATTAGAATGAGGCCTAATGGTTTAAAATGAATGTTACACACACACACACACACACACACATATATATTGACAGTGAATGCATTGAGTTATTAGGAATAGGGTTGCGGTAGGGTAATTTTTTTCAAGAAACAAGTAGGGTACAAAGTAAAAGACCCGAAACTCACGTGGTAGACTCTTATTTGGGTATTTGAGGGTTAGGATCGGGCCGGTGCGCAAGTTTGGTCGGTGGGTGCCTCTCGGAGGACCACCATTGGTTGATAAATGCATTCTTCCTGTTAATAACAAAAAAGATTGAAATTATATATTCATGTTGTAATTGGAAATGGAAATTATGGATTTGTTTTATTAAATGTTGTGGCCTAATGAGAATGATGTTTAACATATCCATTTTGAATAGTGTTAATTGACATACATACTTGATTTATGAATGGATTTTGAATAATGTATTCTTCCATGAACCCAATTGTTATGTCTACTTGTAGACCTGTTAATGTCTTTCTTATTTACATCTGTTGAAAAGAAAAGCTGTTTACTTACCCTCAAAGAAAATTAATTGTTTTTCAGTGAGACAAATTTGTAATACTGGTGAATTTTAGAGTCAAAACTTGATAATCGAGTTGTAATTTTGTTTATCTTGAGTCTGGATCTTATAGAACGGAAGCGTAAGTGTCTCTTATCGTTGAATCCGTTGAGAACGTCATTTAGAATAATTAAGTGAGCAAGGAATACTTGTATCTTTAAAGTTGCGCATGAAAGCTTAGGTTAGAAATAACATTCAACAAAATCCAACCGGTTACATTTCATTTTAGAACTGGTTACACTTCTTGCACAAAATCAGCTCTCGAGAGGAGTAGAACCGATTGCATTTTCAAGTAGAATAGGTAGCACTTTGAAGTAGAACCAGTTGCATTGGCCTAAATGCAACCTTTTTGTTTCCCGTTACCCAAACTTGTAGGATAGTCCTTGCACAATTTATTTATTTATTATTATTTTTTTTACCACAAGGACTCTACTATATATATAACATCTTTCGCAAACCCTAGGGGTGTGTGTGCAGAGAGATTGATTGCTTCAATCAGAAAAATAAGGGTTTTCATCTTTTACTCATCATTGAAACTTTTTGAGAAATTTTTTAGAGATATTTGATTGTATATTTTCGAGAGCACACGCTTAAATATGAGAGTGATTAGGGTGATGTTCTTCTATTGAGCAATATAGAATCTTCAAAGTCTACATTAGATTGTAAGTTGATCAGAACAACTGATTTTCTACAAATTAACATTCACAAAATTCAGATTTGAAGGAAAATGAGGTTTTGATCACACTTTGAGGGGATCAAGATATTCGTGAAATGTTGGTTAATCTATGAATGACCTTTCTATAGAGATGAAGAGTAAGCCTAAAATCGAGTACTGTTGAATAGGGAAGTTGTAAAGCTAGGGACAGTCCGCGATTGGTTTTTGGTAGAGCGAAATGGTGTGAGCCTAAGCTTGAGTCAAAGTCCATTATATATTGTTTCAACAATAGTGGATCGTTTCGCTTAGGACTGCAAAATTCTCGAAATTTTTCCGAGACGATTGGTTGATTTCACCAACTAGGATTTCCTTGCTAAAATCTAGTGACACCTTTGAAAATCTACTTTACTTGCTTTAATCATGATCAATGTGTTTCTCCCTAATATCTTACAAATTTATTTATTTAAACGAGGACATTGAACTAAAATAGTTTTCGAGTGAGGCATTTGTGGTTAACTCAAATTTTCACACAAAAAGAAAAAAAGAAAAAAAAGAAAAGGGGTGGTAAAAGAGGGGCATTATTGAAATTCCAACTATCATAACAACGGAAAAGAAACAACCCAAGTTCATTGTCATTATTATTTATTTATTTTTAGCCCAAAAGAATTATATGATATCCTATGAAATAAATGCAAATCAGCATATTTGAAAAAAAGAAAAAAGAAAAAGAAGAAAGAAAGCATTTAGTAGGTTTTCCTTTAAGAGAACATTTATGGCCTTTTTTTTAAAGCTATCGTAAATATATTTCTAGAATATGAATTAAATTAAAGAAGGGAACGGATCCTCTCCAAGGAAAGTTTTCTCTAAACATCTACAGGTAGTAATCCTACGACTATTAATGTACCACATCAACAACTTATTTCACTACTGAATACACTAAAACACGACACTTTCTTACCATTCTGAAACTTTCTTTTTCTATTCATAAATTCTAGGAAATTAGTATTGCCCAAATTTGATATTTCTATATAAACCCTTAAAATAACTTTCTTACCGTTCTTAAACTTTCTTTTTCGATTTTTTCTACCATCAACAATCTTTGATTGTTACAATTGAAGATTTGCAAGATTGATCAAATTTGGAAGATTTGCAAGATTAATCAAACATATATTTTTATTCACAAATTCTAAAAAAAAATAGTATTGCTCAAATTTGAGATTTTCACATAAACCCTTAAAATAATTTTCTTACCCTGAAACTTTCTTTTTCAATTTTCTCTATCATCAACAATCTTTGATTGAAGATTTGCAAGATTAATCAAACTTATATTTCTATTCACAAATTTTAGAAAAATTAATATTGTCCAAATTTGAGATTTTACATAAATCATTAAAATAATTTCAATTTCCAAAGATCCATGTTATATGAGATTGATAGAATGATTGACTGGTTTTGAGAGAAGAATTCAATTGTAGGAAGGAAGCTGATCCCTAATAGGAAAGTTGGTTGGAAAAGCGTAAGGTTTGATGTGCTTTAATCCAAACGTATTCAGCAGTGAAATAAGTTATTGATGTGGCGTTTTAGTAACCGCATGATTAATACCTGTAGATGTTTGGAGAGAACTTTTCTCAGAGAGGATCCGTTCCCATTAAAAAAACATTAATTTAGTTGCCTTAAATTGAACGGTAGGATTTAAAGTTAAAAATAACATCGTGTGGTTGAAATTCAACAAAGCCTTCACAATCCACTATATATTCCATGAGAAATTATTAAGTAATCCACAAGAAAGATTTTGATTTCACTTAGAAAAAGTACTAGAGATTTGCAAGATTAATCAAACTTATATTTCTATTCACAAATTCTAGAAAAATTAATATTGTCCAAATTTGAGATTTTACATAAATCATTAAAATAATTTCAATTTCCAAAGATCCATGTTATATGAGATTGATAGAATGATTGACTGGTTTTGAGAGAAGAATTCAATTGTAGGAAGGAAGCTGATCCCTAATAGGAAAGTTGGTTGGAAAAGCGTAAGGTTTGATGTGCTTTAATCCAAACGTATTCAGCAGTGAAATAAGTTATTGATGTGGCGTTTTAGTAGCCGCATGATTAATACCTGTAGATGTTTGGAGAGAACTTTTCTCAGAGAGGATCCGTTCCCATTAAAAAAACATTAATTTAGTTGCCTTAAATTGAACGGTATGATTTAAAGTTAAAAATAACATCGTGTGGTTGAAATTCAACAAAGCCTTCACAATCCACTATATATTCCATGAGAAATTATTAAGTAATCCACAAGAAAGATTTTGATTTCACTTAGAAAAAGTACTAGAGATGAACTTTGACAAATTAGCCGTCTACCAGAAAATGGTTGGATGTAAAATGTTTTCCATTCATTAAAGATATATAATATAGTCTGATCACAACAGTATCTTATATATATGTGTGTGTGTGTGTGTGTGTGTGTGTGTGTGTGTGTGTGTGTGTGTGGGGTTCTATGAGATTGTTTTGTTTCTTCCCGTGAGTTGAACTTTAAGGGTCATTTTCTTCTTACACATTATCCAGATCGGAGGGAGAGAGTGTGTGTTTATTAGGGCTTATTAGCTATTAATTTAAATAATTTATTTTATAATTAAGTTGGAAAAGTAATTCAATTTATATATATGTGTAGTGGTACAATTTTGGATATATATATATAAAACAATAGCTTTAATAACTTTACCATTCTATATAAAAGTTTTTAACGATATACTAGATCTCGTTTATCACACGAAAGTCTTTAAATTAATAAAAAAACTTATTGAATTAGAATCTCAACAATTTTTATATTATTAGAAAATGTTCAAATTGCAAATTTGAACACTTATATTGACCTAGCACTCTCATACATGTTAGATGGAGAATTTAACACACTCACTCAATTTTAAACATCTCGATTCAATAGTTAAGTACTTCCTTGATAAATATTCTCAAGAAAATAGAATTACAATTTATTAAATTTCTTTTAAATAAGTAATTTTAGTGGTGAAAATGTATTTACTTGTAACAACTGCTGTGATATGAAAAAAATATATATTTAAAATTTAAGAATTCATTTGGTTAGATAAAAACAGCACAAAAAGAAAAATAAAATCTCTCCCTAATATATTACAAATTTATTTATTTAGATTCTTATATTACCTTTATGTTTTTAAAATGATAATATTTATTTTTATTTAATAAAAAATAAAGCAATTTAAACCACTATACATTTTTTATATTCTTTTTTTTCTTTCTTTTCTTCACTCAGGTTTTGACTGTTAATTTTCATTTGACCAAACGAACCTAACGTAGAATTTGAAGATTTAGATAGATTCCGAATTTGTGTACCTAGTCCCTTGTCGGATTTAAGAGGAGGGGGCGTGACGCATCCTTATAGACCAAACCGGCGACGTTTCAGGAATGCAAAGTCCAACACGGCTCAGCTCAATCTGAGCCGTAACGGACACGAGAATCGATGATCACTCGAAAGGGGACAATCACGATTTACAAACATAGGAGACAGACCAACCATTTCATAATTATCTACAGAGGATCTTGGGTCCCACATACTCATCTCCACACGCGCTTTTATCCCCTATCACTATCTCACCAGATCTCGACACGTGGCGACCTTCTCCTCACATCCCTATCTTCTTACAATCATATCACCTTTTAATAAAACAATATAGTCTCACTCACCGTCAGATCATCATCAACCGGTTAAGGTTTCATAGGCGAATCGTCAAATAAACCGAAATATCTTGACTGTGAAAATAGCAATTCTCCCGATGGATAGATAGATAATCTTGTTTATTTTCCAACTGGCAATAATTTAAGCGTGTCTGGATGAGGATAAGGGTTTATTTTCCTCAATTTATTCGCACTCTCTCTCTCCTCTCCTCTTTCTCTCTCTATATCGTTTCTGTAATTCTATATACATATATATGCACAAACCGATGATTGTATAATTCTGTTTGTCTCTGCTTGTGTGCTTTGATTTGTATTTTTGTAACGATGTCGATCGCTCTCGAGAGTAATCCTGGTAACCGGATCGAGCGGTCAGGGTTCGTCCATGGAATGACCTTTGCGCCGATCTATGATTCGCCCGAGGCTCGCAGGCAGGTGAACGGGATTTTGGCCGGTGATCGGCTGTTACCGGTTGGTACTACGACGGCCAAGAACAAAGTAAAGGAGCTCAAGGAGGAGCTTGAAACATCCAGCTCGTCGTCGATCGGGAGGAATAGTGATTCGTCCGGTGGGGAGCCGGACGGCGATGGTGACTCTGGCGAGGGTGAGGTTCAGAGCTCGTATAAAGGATCGTTGGACACTATGGAGTCGTTGGAGGAAGTTTTGCCGATCAAGTACGTCGCTTTCGTTAGGGTTTGTTTCCGCTATGAAGCACAATAATTGTTTATTTATATCACTAATTTTTATCATTTCGGTGTGCTTTGGATCTTATTTTGACAATTCATTTCGTTGAATAGAAGTCCGATCGATTTTAGGGTTTAGTCTTATCTGAACCAAAGATCAATATATCGTTTTATTTGATCGTGTCTGTTTTTAGAAGCTCATTTATTTCTTACTTATGAATTTAGATTTACTTGTTTTTGAAATTTTGGGACGAAAATGTTTTTAGAAGCTCATTTATTTCTTACTTATGAATTTAGATTTACTTGTTTTTGAAATTTTGGGACGAAAATAACCAGTTCTTAAGAAATCAAATACTTGAGTATGAATTTAATTTTTGTTTGTGATTTGTATGTTCTCGTCCTCAAATACTGCTTAAAACTTCTATTGTAGATGTACATGAGCTGTTAGACTACTAATTGCCCCAATAGATTAAGCTGCTAAGGAATGAACCCAACAATGAATTAACACAAATATCTGTAAGACTCGGATGATTGTTAAGAAAGAAACATGAAAAGAAAGACAATGAATTCTAAATTATTAGCTCCGATAGGCTTTCTTTCTAGCGTTGAAAATTCAAATGTGGTGTTGTAATTATTCACCCCAAGAGGCTGCTGGATGTCTCCATTTTCCAACATTTAATATAACTTTTAAGTGCTCCACTTTTTCTTTTGATGGCAAAAATATTCTACTTGCTCAAGTGTGGGGTTGTGTGGTGGCTTGTTGCTGGCCTCCCTTTGACATACGGGGCATACACCTTTGTATAATATATATATATATATATATATATATCCAAATTTAGATATGTTTTCATCAGAAAATTTGATTGAGACATTAAATTTCTAGGACTGATCTGACTCTATTTGTTTGAATTTCTTTTGTCAATAATTGGGAAATGACTCCAAAATTAGGATAAACATGGTGACGGGAGGCAACTAGGATGTGTTAATAAGAAGCCCTAGGACTGATTAGGGACTGTTTTTAACTTTTTGCTTTTTGGAATTGGTTGTCACGTAGTGTAAAGGAACTAGATATTATGAAGCTTCTAAAGTCTAGAATTAGCATTTTCGGTGATTAATTGATTAATATAGGAGACACTTTCATTCCTGTCGAACAATTGTTTTCCCAATACCTTAGTGGCATGATAATGCTGGAGAGAAACTGTAACTATGTTTTCTAACCCCCTTAATGAAAGCGCAAGTTTTGAGAAAAATAAAAAGGAAAGGATCAATGCCTTGTGTGGGTTCACTGTAGGCATTCCGCATCTCTGTTAATTGTATCTTCTTTAATTTTATGTTCAGCAGTGTTTGTGTATATGCATGTGACTGTGTGTGTGTTTTAAAGATTTCAAGGAAGAATTCTGTTGATGGAAGTTGTTGAGTCACCTTTGCACAACCACCACATCATTGAGGAAAATATCCTCCATAATGTAGAATTATGTCCAATTAAGATATGGTTGGATGACACATGATGATGTATTGTGTCTGTAACACTAATGTTTTGTTTTATATCCTGCATGTGTTTATAATGTGTTCAATTGGACTCATTTCAGGAGGGGCATATCCAAGTTTTACTGCGGCAAGTCGAAATCTTTTACAAGTCTGGCAGATGCCTCCACATGTTCTTCCATCAAAGACATTGCGAAGTTGGAAAATGCCTATACTAGGAAACGGAAGAACTTACTTGCTCACAACATTTTCTTTGACAAGAATCACAATTCTCCTTTGAGAAGTGGGATGTCTAAGAGAGCTGCCAACTCCAATAGAAGTACATCGAATCTGGCAAATATGGGCAGCTTTGAATGCAATAATAAAAGTGAACACTCCAACTCAAACTCATCATCACCTACACTCAGTCTTCCTCCTCTGTATCCACACGGTAGAAGACCGCCTAACAATGAATCACCGTCATCACCACCTCCACGGAATTTCTCGTCATGGCGTTCTTTTTCTCTGTCGGATCTGCAGTGTGCCGCAGCGGCTGCTGCATCCCCCAGCATCACTGGCTTAGTGGTTAGTAAAGGGGACAAGGAGAGCGAACTGCATTGACATCTAATTCTCAGTTGCTCTTTGTTGTTTATGAAATCTAAAACTAGAAAGACTTTTCATGGTTCAAGTGTTTGTAAGCGGTTCTGGTTTGATCTTGTGGTTCTGCCCCATTGTACTTGTTACCAACATAAAGGCAGTGATAGAAATTAACTTCTTGTTTTAGCAATAGAGATTTTCTTGTTCTACCTACTTTTGCTTCCCATAACGACTACCTTCAAGACCTCATTTTCTAAGAGCAAAAATTGTGATATGTTCCATTATTTGATTCTAACTTGTCACGGCTCCTTCAAGTTGCCACCAATCTCAATCTCTGCAAGTATCATCTGTGGTCTGCAACGCGTAGTAGCTATTACTACGTAACATCATAATAAGCCATTGCACAAATGGACAAAACCTATCTTGTTTTTAGACTAAACTAGCATTAGTTTTCTAATTTAATTAAATCCATGGTTATTAAAATGGCAGCTTCCATACGGTTGAAAATGAAGCTGTTTGATCAAGGGAAATGCTTGCGCGAGGGGGATAATTCTAGGCCTTGCTTATCCCGGAAATTTTGTCCCACCGTGAGCAGAGTATCTCATTGTCTTGATTCAACTGGCTTTGTGGCAAACAAGGTGAGATGACCTTGATGCACGTCAGATCCTTGAACAAAATAAAAAAAATTAAATTAAATAAAGTACTTGGAAGAACATTTATTAATTCAATTAATTATTTCTCACAATCTGGGGACACAAGGACAAGAAAACCCCAAGATATCGAAACAATGAAGAGACTTCATAATCAGATATGAATGATGGGGTGCGGACAAAATGTTGCCGATTAAGCAGTTCTTCAGGGTGTGAACAATTTGTTGAATTTCAAACTACTTCACAGAGGTAGCTAAGAAGTGTTAAAAGGATGTTGTCTTTGGTAAGTTGTAAAACTTCTACCAATATGAAAACATTCAATTCGAAACTACAAGGGACAAACTTCATCCTTACAAGGATGAACTTACATGAAACTTCCAGCTGCTCAACAACCTGAAAATGGTAACAACATTGCTGCCTTAATTTTAGCATTTTATGTCCTCACATACTCCCATTGCATCATCAAAAAAGTGATTCACGTCCCTCCACCAACAACTCCAATCTAGAATACATGTCAACCGACTCAGCTAGCTTGATCCAGTATTGTCTATGTCACCAATCACGGCTTGCAAAAACAGCAATCCAACTTGAGTATTCCAGAGTATGCAGTCCAGAGTATGCAGGCAATGGCTAACATTATTTCAACATTATGTTCACCCAATCAAATAATATTTGCCCTTAAAGTACAAGGCAAGCTTGCCCTTGCATGATTTGGAGTCACAACACTAGAGATGAATATGATTCAGTTGGATGCGCAAGTCAAGAATGGCAGGATCTTGAACCTGACATAAACGTATGAAACCTTTGATTTACCTCAACCAAACTATGGCCAGGGATCCTTTTCAACTCTCTTTCCTCCATAGACATTTTCAATCTTGCTACATCTTCCCACCTACCAGCTTCAGCATAGATATTTGCCATAAGAACATGGAAAGTGATAGTTTGAGGGTGTAATTGGTACAATCGTTCAGCCACAAGCTCTGCCAGCTCGACATTACTGTGAATTCTGCAAGCACCAAGCAAAGCTCCCAAAACATCCACGTCTGGCTCAGTTGGCATATTCTCAATAAACTCATAAGCTTCCACCAATCGGCCAGCTCGACCAAGAAGATCAACCATACAAGCAAATTGCTCTACACCAGGCACAAGTGAGTAGTCTTTTGTCATGCTCTCAAAATGTTTCCTTCCTTCTTCTACGAGACCTGAATGCCTACAAGCTGTCAAAACAGCAGTGAAGGTGAAGCTATTTGGTCTAATTCCTTCTTTTTTCATCTCTGAGAAAAGCTTCAGAGCATCCTCTCCATGCCCGTGAGAAGCACAAGCCCCTATAATTGAAGTCCAGGACACAATGCTTCTATGAGGCAGCCTATCAAAAACATCCATGGCCAAGTCTATGTTTCCACACTTTGCATACATATCAATTAGTGCATTTGTGATTGAAACGTTGGCTTCAAAACCTTTGCCTCTTACAAGTTTATGTACCCATTTTCCAGCGTTGAGTGCTCCTAAACTAGCACAAGCAGATATAACACTAACCATTGTGATATAATCAAATTCTACCTTTTCATTTTGCATCGTACGGAAGAGTTTAATTGCACTTCCACAAATATTATTTTGCTCATAAGTGGCAATCATTGCATTCCATGAGACCAGGTTCCGGACCAGCATTTGATCAAACAAAAATCTCGCTATATCAACATTCCCACACTTGCCATACAAGGCAATCAAAGTATTAACCAACGAAATATCCGAATCCACTCCCAATTTAACCCCATAACCATGAATCAACTTTCCTAACTTCAGAAACCCCAAACCTGCGCAGGCAGGAAGAATGCTTACAAGCGTAACTGCATTGGGTTGAGTCCCTGAAGCCACCATCTCTCGAAAAACACCCAACCCGTTCTCAAAAAATCCACTTTGCACATACCCAGCAATCATTGCAGTCCAAGAAACAATATTCCTCACAACCATCTCACTGAATACCAGTTCAGAATTCTCAGTCACTCCGCTCTGCGCGTACATTGTAACCAAAGAAGTTTGTACAAACACATCCAAGTCAAACCCATTCTTAATTATATTACAATGCACTTCCTTCCCTTCTCGTAAAGCCGAGAGCACTGCACAAGACCGAACCACAGAAGGGAAGGTATAGTGATCGGGTAAGATTCCAGTCTGATGCATGTTCCTGTAAAGAATTATGGCTTCTTGACAAGGACCCAAATAAGCATAACCACGAATCAAGGTGTTCCAAAGGAACACATCTCTGTGGTGCATTACGTCGAACAGTTGACGGGCATAGTCCATGGTGGTGCCTAGGCAGCATGCTAAGGCGACGAGTTTTGTTGATAAGAAGAGGTTAGTGGGGGACCCATTAGTGAGTATCATGAGAGCATGGATTCGTTTAAGGTCATACAGAGAGGAACATGAATTTAAAAGAGAGTTGAAAGGGAGGGAATGGTAGTTGTTATTCTGATTAGTACGGACACAGTGAAATGGAGCATACAAATTGTGTTCAAGTTTTTTCATAACACTACGGACAGAGCGAGACAGCATGAATTGGACATCAATGATACACCAAACAAACTACGAAATCACAAAAACTTTTAGAGAAATGTAATTATCTTTCCCTTATCAAAGTTATGTCGAATTTCATCAAGGAACACTCTTTTAACATATTAATGTCTGATAAGAGTATCAGCCTGCTGACGGATTCTGAAATAATAATAACACAAAAAGACACTCACCCAAGAAGTGCGTGACACAGTTTCATAGGAGCAAACAGCACCACCAGGCAGTGACGACGGATCAGAAAATTTGGTAAGGGGCGGCTTTTTAATTTGTGGGTATATATGATGGATTTATTTTTGTAATTTTAATAGGATTTTTTTCATAAATTTAAAAAAAATTAAAGTATAAAATGAAAAAAAAAAAAAATCAAGGAGGCAAATTATAATTCTAGTGGGGTATCTTCATAAATTATTCAAATTTGAAATATAAAATGCTAAAAAAAAGAATTCAGTAGGAGCGAATTATAATTTTAGGGAAATATTTTCATAAATTTTTAAAAAATTAAGTTATAAAATAAAAATATTAAAAAGTCAGGGGGGATGCTGGGTCCGTCGGTGCCTCCAGGCCTTTCTTCTTGTTGAAAGAGTGGCGGGACAATATAAATGTGAAAGGTGTCCCACCGATTCAAATGGGAATAAATTGATGAGGAATGCTAAGTAAGGTGATTATTTTTTTCTTTCTCTCCTCATTTGATCCATATGTATATAAACTATAAATATATATATAAAAAACTACGGACCTTTCCTTTTTTTTTTTTTTTTTTTCAATTGTCTTTTAATTTATATATATATATCACTTACTATTATCTACTTTTAGTAACTAAATCATCTTTATATAAGTTATATAGGGACTCAATTCTTACCTCTCAATAAAAAAGAAAAGAATATATTGTTAGCTATATATATATATATAAACACCATATGAATAAAACTTCCTTTATATTGATTTTATTTATAAAAAAAGAAGGGTACATAGTTTTGTGTTAAAAATAATAATTTAATATCCTATTAAAAATAGAAAACATGTTACAACTTTGATGATCAATGAGAATAGTCACGTACAACAAAAATGGAAGTTTTGTCAATATATATATATATATATATATATATATATATATATAGGTTACGTGTATATTTTTAGTGTTTTATATAAATAAGAAACATACCATTAATAAACACATTAATTACAAATTCTATAAACCATGGAAAGAGCAACTGTTAAATAACCGTTGCCTTAGCGACTGTCCTCAACATTGTTGTAAAATAATATGGGTTTATGTTAGCTCTCTATTCAATAATTTTCTTAAGTTTTTGATCAAAACACGGCAAATAAAAAATTATTAAATGGTCAATAAAAACAATAATTAGACTTTATAAATGTTAGAAATGTCTTAAATGTTAGAGGCGCCCACATCCGAAAAAAATTCTCTCCATTTACTCTTCCACTAGAGGAGGAGTCAACATCTAACAAAGGTGATTAACCCACATTTCTAACATAACTTTGTCATCGATAAGTAAGCAAAGTAAGTAAGATAAGTAAAAAATTTACTAATCTACACTTTATTTTACTATATATACGAATACTGATTTATACGGTTAAATTTTATACCATATATTATACTACTAAAAAAAATACCATTTAACTTTACCTTTTTATTTAAATTAAAATGCCTTTTTTACTTTTCTCTTATATATCGGAATTCTGTTTGTATATCGTTTATTTTTCTATCGTACCTAATAATGTAAATGCACAAGAACAAATTTCGGGTTGCCTCCAAATAATATAAAATACGTTCTAAAATTTAGTTTTACAGATTTTTTACAAATCTAATAACACAGACTTCAAATTCTTTGGATAACCAAAGTCACCATCGGATTGTCTCTAAATAAGATAATAGTTGTTTTCTCATTTTGAAAAAAATTACAAAAAATTAAAAATCATAATCTCTCCCTTACAATTGCCAAATGGCCAGAATCTTTTTTTTCGAAATAAGTCTGATTTTGTTTCTTTATAGAGAGAATTCATTAATCACAAAATATCACTTTATGTAATGTGTTCTAGATTTGTTTTACGTTTGGTCTGGTTTTGCTTATTTCAGACTTAATTTTAATGAGGGAAGTTTTCATTTTGTTTAGATGCAAAACTGACTTGTTGCAGGGAATGTTTCATTTTTTTTCTTTTGGAGAAAGTTTAATTTTCAACTCTTCTGTCACTTATTTTGTCAAGTGGACCCATAAAGTGAAAAATAAAGAGGGTTGTGTATGTTTTATATGCAAATTGTGTGTATAAATTGTGGGAATCCATAAAGTGAAAATTAAACTGATTAAATATTGCAATATATGTTTTATATGTATAAATTGATAGTTTGGTAAATACAAATTTAATACAAGTATCAAGTCAGTTTTTTTATTCCTCATTGGACCAATCTAGTGCGAGAGTGAATGGAACAAATAAAAATGAAAAAAGAAATGAGTATATATAGTATTTTTTTTTTGGGACTCACCACAGTCGTTGGTTAAATAAAATTAAATTGAAGAAGAAAGGTAAGAACCAAATCCCAAGAAGCCCGAATTAAATTTTTATATTAAAAATTATAGAAAATTTGCTTCCTTTATTTATTTATTATTATTATTTTTTGTGTGGATAATCCTAAGTACCCGAAATTTCACCTCCATTAATTTCGAAGATTGAGGAAGGACACCTCTTCACTTTAAATCGTGTATGTCACCGAATATGAAAACGGAGACGTAGTTTCAAGTTATTATAAACTCCTAATAAAAATTAAATCCCAAACTCTACTAGTAAGTATCAAAACCCATGTAATTTTACCACCAGAATTTTGTTTCCCTTATTCTTGCATACCCATTAATGGTTATCACATCAGAGGTGTAAAAAAAAAAAGAGGATTAATTTTTTCGAGGAAGTGGAACAAACACAACTCACAATTATATTCCCGTCGGTTGAATCCCCCGGGGTTGGTCTGCTAAGGAAACGATGGAAACATAAAAATGCAAAAAAGTCAAAGCCCGGTGTTTGTTTGCTTACATGTGGGCATCCTTTTCTCACAAACTTTTTATGTCAATCACCAACATCCTTGGTACGGTTTGGTGAGTGATTAGGATGCCCAAAATTATTTAATTACACCAAAAGTGTCGACGATTAGATTCAACAACCATCCCTTTCATGAGAGTGTTTGTGTTCTGATACAAGATACAGAGTACGACTTGATATGAAATACGAATACGATACGGACATGACGATATAACAAATTGACACCTATATAAATACAAATACGATATGATACGGGACATGGGTACGATATGACACGACGATAGAGCAAATTTTAAAAGAATAAAACACGGACATGGTAATGATACGGTAATAAAATAATAATATATATATTTTATTATATATAAAATTTTAATTTCTCTTAATTTTTAATTTACATTAATAAGCATGACCCATTTAAATTAAGTTCAATTCAAATTTTATTAAAATTCAAACAATAAATATGTAGTATATCTTTATATTCAATACTAGAATAGTTTTAACTTTGTAGCCAAACACATTGAAAAGGAGATGAGAGATAAGATATAAGATTACAATCCTATCTCCTCGGTCTTTCCATCTTTGATTGACCATATTCTCTCTTCTCAAGATGAAATTCCTCTTTTCCACTGACAGAGGAAGAAAAAGGCGATCAAGCCTTTGGTTGAGATCTTTTCGCACCGAGACGAGAGAGACCCTAGCAGAATCGAAAATCTTGGCCAGACGCCATCTCCTCCGTCTCTTAACTCTCTATCTTCCTTCTCCTCCCTCCGTCTTTTGATTTATTTTTAAAGAATATGCAAACAAATTTTCACTCAAACAATTAAAAGAGATTTCTTCTTTCATTCTGTCTTTGATTGATCCACACCAATCAGAGTATGATCATGAGGTTCTTCATCATCTCTTTGTTGATTTCCTCTCTCTCTTTCAGTTTCTCTCTCATCCCCTCCATTTTTTTATTTAGAGTTGTTTTTGGTTAACTGCGGTGTTTTCCGGTGTCCTTCAACGTGTCCCGGCTATATCTTATGGCGTGTCTGACTTGAAAAAATGAATAAAAAAATAGGACATCAGTAGAAGGGTGTCGGACACGTGTCCGAGGTTGGGATACGCGTGTCTGAAACTGGTATGTCACCCCTATCACGCGTGTCGGTGTAGCACCGACACGGCTATTATAGCGCGGCGTACCAGTGTCGGACACGACTTGTGTCATAGGCTCGGATACGTGTCTGACACTCCCAAATCGTATCCTATATTTTTTTAATTAATCGAACATGGTTGGACACCGATTGGGCACTCTAGAAGAGCCGCCGGACACCGATTGGACACGCCTGAAGAGAAACCAGCCAAACGAAACGATTGGGGAGAAGATCAGAATTGATCATTGACCTTGGTATCATATATATATATATATATATAACTAAATGGATAATTTACACAAACCTCCTTTATGGTTTGTCATAATTATAGGGACACCCTCCTATTTCGAAAATTACTCGAAATTACTCGGATTACTCGGATCTCCGTTAATTTTGAAAATATCTTACAATGACCTCCCTTATGTGTGACGGGCCATTAAATATGGGCCTGTCAAAATTGCTAAACTACCCCCAACTTTCAATGATAAATGACTTAAATACCCCAGAGTGTGTGTGTATATATATATATGAATGAAATTGATGTTGACCGGAAATCAGACAGAAAAATGGAGAAGTGATGATCCAACCGACTGAAGCCTTGGACTGCAACAAATCATTTTTCACTGAAGCCCCTTCTTTGCTGTCAAGCGTGGGAATCAGCCTTGAATGATCAATCTTTTTCTTACTCAACGGAGGGAAAGGTGAGAGCTCTCCATAGAAACCCAGAATCACCGATGCTGGAAGATCCCGCCGGCAACCTCAATCCACTCTCGCCGCCGGAAACGACTCAAGAGAGGAGTAACAACGAATTGACAGCCTGTGAATTAGCTACCCCGCCGCTGAGGTGTTACTGGAGCTTCGAAGCCAACAAAGTCGATTCATCAAATTGAAACTGATGGTGTTGACAATTATCTGGATTCAACAGCCTCGGTTCATCCGATAATTTGCGGACGGATCAGCGATAAGTCCCAAGTTATATATATATATATATATAATATACATGCCTGTTATAAGGCCTTTGTGATCTTTGATAATACCAATCTTCACAACTCCAGGGTGCACTGCATAGATAATTACTCTTGCATTTCTTGCCTATAGTTACAATATTACAATAATTAAACACTTCTCATTCACTCACTATTAATTAATATATTATTTCTAATTTCATCATATGCCAAAATTTGGTGCCCTACTTGGTTCTGTTTTTCATCAGAGTCCTCTGAAAGTTAAAAACAGTCGGAAATTTTATTTGGTTGACAAATTTGCATTTTTTTTTTTTTTTTTTTTGAGTTGAATGAGAAATATATAAAGAGAGAAAATTTCATAGGACAACAATTATTAAACTTTTTTATAATTTTGAATATTCTTAAAATGAAACCAAATCAAGTCTTAATATTTATTATGTGCATATATATATGACTAAATATGAACTTGGATTGAAAAGAAGAAAAAGGGAAATGCTCTCTTCCTTGAGTTGTCTTTGTTGGGAAACGTGTTAGTTTTAAAAACTTTTCGAGGGATTTAAATTCATAGATCTTGATTCATTACATAGAGACAAGTTTCATGCAAAAATAAAACATGATGTATCA